GTGGAGAGGGGATTAATTGCCCCGGCCCGACCTTAAAATAATTATTTTGAGCGGTGCAACTCTAAACTCCAATGAAATTGATACACTTTGATAATTAGATTCTTGGCACTGACCCGCTGAAGTCAATAAAGGTTATTAAGGCCAATTGCTGTCTAAACGCATTACGGGCAGGGTAAACTGTCCATCGGAGGCCCCTGCTACTCCAGCGCCAATATGATAATCCATTCTCCGTCCTGGGGGTTTCTTCCCCAGCGCCTGTGTCTCCACTCTGCCATACAAAACCAGATTGGATTCGCTTAACCTTTCCAGGACTTTGATCAAATGAGCTCACACAGCAATAACATTTACATTGACCCCCCCACCCTTCCTCCCCAACACACACAAGCCCTCTCTCTTTATTTTTTCCTCCTCCCCCTCTGTCTCTATAGCTCAGTACATTCCCTCCCCGACCCACTCCTCAGCGCAGACCCTCCACACGCTAGGTCAATAACCTAATCAGCTATCGATGGCGAAGGGGCCACGCTGTGTGTGATTGTAGTGCAACCCTCCTCAGCGGCCCGCAATGTATCCGAAGACAGCTATTAAAGAGGGGGGGGGGGGGGGGGGCGGAATATGATATGGTCACTAAGCCCATTCACACACAAAAGTCAGCGTCTATTACAAATCAGAGGAGGTACATTTTGTCACACAATGAGGGAGAAAAAAATATGTACAGCATGTATGCATGCGTGACCAAACCATGTGAAAACAGGGAGTGACAGGCTGGGTGAAGGGAGTAGAGGAAGACATGGCCCCGATACCACTTCCTGTTTTGTACATCTTGAAGTATACAAATGTATTCAACTGAGTGGATCCCATTTATTATGAAAGTAGATTAATTTCCTTGATATGTGTTGAAAAGATTTCCATCTACAAGGCTCGTTCTCCTGTCAAATGAGGGAGAAAGTGTGAGAAGGAGACAGAGATGTGGCGAGATAGCAGGAGCGGGAGAGGGAGAGAACAAGAGAAAAGGAAGAACATAAAGAGGGGGAGAGAGGGAGAGGACGAGCGTTGAAATCTCTTTGCTTCCGCGGTGGCTTTTGAAGTTGTGAGATGAGCAGCCACAGAAGTCAGGAAAGTGACAAATTAGGGAAAAAGCTGTACTGTGCAAGCAGAGCTGCTAAATCAATTAAAGTCATGCCAAGCGCATACATTAACATCAATGGCACACACACACACACACACACACACAGGACAGGGAAAAAAAGGGGAGATGGGCTAGGAGCTGTCGCTTCTCCCCCACAGAGAAAAGAGGAAATAATACCACACTGGTATTTAAAATATTCTGCATAAAGCCAAGACTCTCTGTCTATTGTCAGTCAGACGGAAACTATTCATTGTTGCTAGTTTAAGGAAATGTCACTTTTGTGTGATAGCCATGATAGCAGCGTCCTGAGGGAACGTGAGGCTGCGAGCGAGGCGGGTCTAAGCGGACTTCAGCACCCTGGATCACAGGGGGAACGTGAAGCCTTTGAGTTAATGTCGCTTTTTCTCCGGACACAACCTTTCCCTTGTGTACACTAACCCCCACACACACACACACATTATACTTTGCTGTACATTCAAATGCCTATACACAAAGTTTCGCAGCACGTCCCTTTGTTTCTGTCAATAACAAAAATTCATGAGGTTCCCTAAAAGAGGCGAGCAAGAGAGTGGACTTGTTTTGTGTCGGGTTTCTTTATTTATTTATTTATGTATTTTATCAGAATGTCATTCAAATGGAAGGGTGAGCATTTGCATGACAACAGGCTGAGGAGCAGCGAGGGAGCCCCAGGGAGAGACAGTATCCATAAGCAGGAGCTGGTCGTCCCCCCCCCCCACCACATATTGCAATATTCTTCATACACACTAACAAACGCATACACAGCCCAGCGCATCCCGCAAACACTGTGTGCTAAATACGACAATAAAGAGAGGAAGGCTGGCTGTTTGTATTACTATTTTAGCAGGATAAAACAATCGGCTGTTTTATTGCTACAGCGCGGAGAATAAAACAACAGTGTCAATTTATAAACCCTATTTAAAGAGACATATATTTGTTATTTTAAAACACCCATGGTGATATCAGATTTGACGAAAATAATGCCGTATTAAAATACACTCTGCAGGCAAGAAGGGAAAATAAATAAATCTGCACGCAGTAGGTCACTCGCATATCACTAAATTACACTATACTGTCAATTGCACGCTTCAAAATGTAAAATATATGCAATAAAGGAATGTAGGGGGGGGGGGACCGGCGTCATTTAAATAACTCAAGGTAATTTAGAGGAATGCGTTTTAATCTTACTGCAGGAAAGCCACAGCTATCGAAAACCTGCAAAAGGGAAAATCTATAAGTCACATCTATAAAGTGCTTTTCATCAGCATATCAGAGGTCGATGCATGTATGGAAATATTGCTTGCGAGCGCAATAATGTTGTCTTTCATCACAATAGAGAGTGATTACATTTAGGCATTCACCAGCTTGTTATTTTTGCCAAGGTTCAATATGATTTTCTTCAGACGATAAACTTGCTTTTGTGTGATGTGACACTATGTGATCAAATGAAATAATTTACACCGTGAGATAAACAGTTATTTGAGCTATTTGAGATGTAAACAGTATTAAAAAAAATATTAGAAATAATTGCATTCAAAATATATATTAAGACATTTCTTCTTTCACTAGTTTACACACAAAAGATGCTCACATTTTTTGTCTGTATTGTGAAAAAATCGGAAGTTAAGTTTCTACTGCATGACAGGAATCCACATGAGTGACACACACACACACACACACACACACACACACACACTGGACACGGTTTGCCTGCCCGTTTGAGAGTGATGGAGACACGGCAACAGAGGGAGAGAAAGACCTCACATTTCACTGATGCCCTTTTCTAAATACAGGTCCAAATCACACACTTCATCTGGGCCCGGAGGTGGAGCTCTAGATGAGTTTAGCCCCTGTCTACGAACCCCTCCACCCCCCTCCCTGTGCCAGGCTGTTCCACTAACTGAGAGAGAGAGTGTGAGAGAGAGAGAAAGAGAGAGAAAGAGAGAGAGAGAGAGAGAGAGAGAGAGAGAGAGAGAGAGAGAGAGAGAGAGAGAGAGACTATGAGTGGAGCAGCAGCACTGTTCTCCTCCAGCCCCTGTCTTTATCCCCGCCTGAGCATTAGATGTGATTACTGCTCAGCGCTCGACACTGACAGAGACAGAGAGCTCCCAGAGACAGGAGGAGAGGGCGAGAGACATACAGAGACACAGAGAGCGGAGGAGAGAGAGAGAGGGAGCAGAGAGGAAAAGAGGAGCACAGCTCTGTCGCTCCCTGCTTCAGTGATACAAGAGTGCCCCCTGCTGCTTCTGCTGTCTGCGTTTTAAACACACACGTACAGACATGAAAACACACACTCTTTGAAAGCGAGCTTTGAGACGCGGACTGCATCTGATACACCAGGTCTCACATCGCTTTATTTTCTTATAAATGTAGTGGATGAATTCAATTGACTATCAGCATTATCCTGCACATTAATCTATAACTCACCTTAACTTTTTCTGTTGTGTGTTGTTTGTTTTATTAATTTTCTAGTTCATGTTTCAAAAAGTATATTGTTGTCCTTGTTATTCTTGCATTAGCTCAAACATATTTATAAACTTAACAGTACATTTCAAATTATGTATAGATGTCGCAATTGTACAAAGCTCTGGCAATACTGTTTGTCATGGTCATGCTAATAAAGCTATTTGAATTGAATTGACTGCATCAGGTGTGAGGAGGGAGAGTGTGTTGGTGAGCCATTGTATCTCCAGTATAGTGTGTGTGTGTGTGTGTGTGTGTGTGTGTGTGTGTGTGTGTGTGTGTGTGTGTGTGTGTGTGTGTGTGTGTGTGTGTGTCACGTTTCTACAGCAAAGGCCTGTGACTAAGGTGACTTAATTATGAGTCTGACATTACTAAGTGAATGCTTTACTGTGGTGTCTAACTAATAGCTGCGTGCCCACGCTCCTCTCTAATAAAACTTCTGTGAGGCAACAATTAAACACATGACACATCCTTAATAATGCAGCGTGGTGAGAAGTTGGGCGATCCATCATGTCGTTTCAAACACTCCCTTCCTTGTGAGGAGCATATTGGACAGCGATTCACTTGTGTAGTTTGTATAAGAAGCACAAGCAGAGGCATGTTGAGCATGTAGGAGGTGGAAAGCCTTATTATGAAATGACAGAGTGCCTGCTGTAGTCAGAGCTGCTTATAATATTTTGGGAAAAATTGTAAAACAGTTTTTATAATACAATTATATGGTTTTTTTCATATGGATTTGCTCAGTATAATGATTAGTAGACGTGCTATTTGTATTATTATCATCTTTATAATATGTTTTTATTATAATTTGTATGTATTTGTTTTTATATTATTAGAATATTATCCGGTTAAGATTTAAGATTATTATGAATTGTTTTAATATACATTTTGTCTGTTTTATAAAATACTAAATATTGACTTCTAAAATATAATATAAAGAAATATGGGTCAATAGACATGTCTCTATATACTCATATGAAACAGGATTTTAAAAAACTGTTTATGTTTATAAAAAAAAAACTATTTTCAGGAATGGCAACCCAAAACTGAGAGAAGTGTTTCTGTAAACCTGAACTGAGAAAAAAAAAGTTTGCTGCTAAAGAATCCGCCTGCACAATAAAATGGAAACACATTGAAGTGAAGTGATGTGTGTGGCACTGAGTTCAGTATGAAGACACATGAAGGTGAGGCTGCAGTGTGACCTGCAGTGTGTGTGTGTGTGTGTGTGACCTGCAGTCTGTGTGAGTGTGTGTGAGTGTGTGTGTGTGTGTGTGTGTGTGTGTGTGTGTGTGTGTGTGTGTGTGTGTGTGTGTGTGTGTGTGTGTGTGTGTGTGTGTGTGTGTGTGTGTGTGTGTGTGTGTGTGTGTGTGTGTGTGTGTGTGAGCGGCCTCACCATCGTCTCCATCAGCTTCCAGTCCTTCTCCAGCTGCTCCATCGGTCCGGTCCACCAGCTGCAGAAACGGGCGAAGCGCCGGCCCTGAAACCAGTACTGCCGCAGCCACTCGAACTCCACCTGCACACACATATACACATGGAGAAAATAAACTGTCACTGCTTCTTAGAATAAATATTTGACATCAAAACCATATATTTTATTTCATGTAGAGTAAACTCATGATTATATATAACTGTAAATATTAAAATAGTCATTGTTAAAACAAACGTAAATAGGGAATTTTGTCTTTTACAAATGCAAAATAAACGTAAAAAGGGAAAAAAAATTGAGAATTGCATTTAATCCTTATTTGACAGTTTAAAATCCAAATGGTTTATAAAGTTTGACCAATTATATAAAAAATATATATTATTATTTAGTAATTTTCAGATTCAATCCGTGGAAGCAGCACAACCTCCTTGCATGTTTTAATGTAATTTTCAATCTGATTTCTTATTGAAATATTCTAATGTTCACCATCATAGTTAAATATAATATGAAGACTATTTTTGTTGTCAAGGTAAATATATATATTTTTAAATAAAATGGAATGAATGTTGTATTTTCCAAGATGTAAGATTTTCTCAATGAGAAATGACGTCCCTTGTACATGATGCTTGGCATGGGGGAAATTACATTTTCCCTTGGAAATATATGCATTGACTTGAATTGTTGCATATTTTCCATAACATTAACTCATTTCAGGACATGGATTATTTGTACGTGTTCTCAGAAAGGAAGAACACTGTCAAGAAATGTTTTTTTAATTAAATGTGTGCATTGTTTTACCAATAATACAATCGGTAAAATACAATCACAGCCTTACCAAACAGAAAACAGACCCACAGTTCATCACACACATATAAATATGTCTACACACACACCTTCCAGTCAGCACACCTGAAAACTCCACCCTCCTCCTCCTCTCCTCCCTCCTTCCCCTCCTCCTCTCCCACTCCCTCGCTCCGTCTGGAGATGACAGTCTCGGCTGCCGAGCCTCTTCCCTCTCCTCCGCTGGGAGTGTTTTTGTTTCCTGCTCTTTTGAAGTGCTGATTTAATCCTCGCAAGGATGTTTCATGTAGCCAGGTGTAGCCTATCTATTTCTAAGTGTGTCTTTCCATGTGCCTGCTTGTGCGTTTGTACCTATGTGCAGCAGCATATCTGTCTACATAGGTGTGTGAGTGGCTTTGTTAACGTCTGTGCATACAATTTCCAATGTGCGTGTCAAAGATTGCCCCAATTGCCGCCAACGTAAACGCGAGTCGCTGCGAGTTGCTGCGAGTTGCCCTCCCCCAAAACGTCCTACAAAGCATCATCCAGCGAAAACAATGCACGCTCCATTTCATTTTGACGCCGACAACTGTACGACACAAAAAGTCGCTGCATGCAAAGGAGTCGCATATCAAATAGGACAGAGAGAGCTATTGTTCCTTTTCTGAAAACTATTTAGTTTATTGTTCTTCTAACAGAGCATTAGCCAATGTATACAACAGGCCCGTCTTAGAGCCGCACACTCACACATAGTGGCAACAAGGTTAAAGCACGTGAATTATACCTAACAAGTCTAATTCCAATGGGAAAGATGCAAATAACGCAATAAATTAGCATTAGCAGTTTTTTCGGGTACCATGATACGATACGATATTACTTTGTCAGATCAAGTCTGAAATTTGACTTGCGTCACAGCAGCTCCATGTCCAACATCAACAGACAAATATCCAGACAAAAATACATGAAACACAAACATTTAACATAACAGCACAATCTACATATCACTTCTTTGTCTTGAGGTCTTGTTTAGCTAAAAAAATGTAAACAGTGTCAATGACATGAGCAAATATAGGTCTCTATTGAGCGTGGCATCCATCATCCATCATGTATTGGGGATAACAGATTAACAGCAAATAAATCTTGTTTACTGCCAAAAGACAATGTTATTACGTATTTGAGCAGATTCTATGGAAGCAGGTCTATTGTCAACATTGTATATGAGTTTACTCCGTCAGAATTGCTTCTCAAACGGTCAAAAAGCTTCAAAACTTTGCAAAAGTGTTGTGGTAAATACATTTTAAAACGCTACAACTCCTATCAACTCTCCTGACATCCTTTCTTGCTGAAATGAATGCATGTTGTCATCGCTCTGTGTTATGAATCAAGTCCCCTACGAGCTTGCCCCTGTAGAAAGTTCAAACAAAGGGCAAGAATTATGTGCACAAACAACTTGAGTAAGGTGTGCGTTGGATAGAAGCTGTGCATGGAATCATCCTGCCATTTGCTTCCAAAAGGCTCTGATCACAGCGGGGATGACATGCAAGGACTGGGGCATGTCAGCGAGGATACACAGCCAGTGGCACTGCTCAGCAGCCTCTCAGTCACTCCATACAACCCTACCCTTCAAAGAAATGTCATCCTTTATGTTCCCCCTCAACACTCCCCAAATCCACTCCCCTTCGATCACTAACACACAACAAAGCCGCCAAGCGCCGATATCGGACATCCTTTCCTCTATGTCAGTCTCTCCTTCCATCTCTCTGATTGTCTGCCTGTCCTTTATGGAGAAGAAACCAACCTGTGTCTCCACTTTGAGCCGACATGGCTGCCCGGCCCCCACTGTGCAGGCCAGTTGCCGCCACAAAGCCGGCCATCTGAAGCGACTGAGGAGCGCCGGCTATGTGGCATTTGGAGTCCAGCCGCCCAGCTGAGAGTTACCAAGAGGGGAACTCGGACTAAATGCCACCTTTCCAGGCAGACAGATCGAAACTTGTGCGAAAGAGAGAGTGGTTGTTAGGGCTAGTTTTTCTCTGAGACGACATGGGGGAGCTAGTGGCTCCCCTGCGGCAGTGGCTGTCATCTCTCCAGGTGATGGACACACTAACTACACATTAGCCCCACATTAGTCGACTGGCCGCCCACCATGGCGACTCTGGAGTTAGAGCCAAGTAGCCCCCTGTTTTCCCATTTAATGAGGCACGTGTTTTTTTCTTTACACCTTCATGGTATTCCCTGAGCGGGTCCAATCAATTTCCGGGCCATGGCCCAGAGGTGGGAGCTGATGAGAGTGGGATCGATCCCACTCTGCCGTCCTCTGTTTACCTTTCCCGGCCTCCTCACACATCAGCCAGGAGGACTGGTGCCACCAGGCCTCTGTGAGCAAGCAGACACGCATTTAACACTAATCACACACAAGCTAGGTTACACTGTACATGCACATATTGCTGTACATTTCCATTTCTTTCTTTGTCCAGAAAATAGTAGCGTTTTTTTGGACGTCTCAGGCCTCAAAGATTGCTCAAAGTGGTCTTCCTGTCTTAGCTGCCACTGGAGAAAAACACCTACATCTCAATGTGACTAGTGTCATTGAATAACAGTTTAATCAATCACAAACTTAAAAAACGCAACAACATTTGGCTAAATCATGATTTAGCAGAGCTCAGAAAGAGAAACTAATTGTATCCCTTTTGAGCTACCCAGAGATTCAAAACAATAAATGAACTCTTAAAATCAAAAGTATAAATGTCTCACATAAATGAAAACAGTTTTAAAGGGTTATACAACTGGTAAACACAAAAGGACAAACAAGTTCAAACTACACACTGCACAGATCTGCTGGCAGAAATGTGTTTTGAGAGGTGATTTGTAAGATTACAATGATATTGCCGGCATAAGGCCCTGAGGAGAGTTGTTTGAAAGCCAAGCGAACACCTAGAGCCTGTGGAGACATTTCTGCCCTCAAAGCAGGACACTGGAAGGTCACACACACCTGCTTCTACACAGTTTACTTTCTGCCAGAACATGTGGGAAAACCTTGTCCCTCCCTCCAATATTTACTGTGGGGGGGACTAGCATCATTAGAGGGGGTCCCTGAGGGCACTCTGTCACACACCCACCTGGGAAGTGACACAGTGGCTTTAAATGAGACAAGACGTTTGCATCTGGGATTAGCATTTCAAAGCCAAACATGCACACGGGGGCCGTGTGGCGATGCTATGTTCGACTACCCCCTCCGCCACCTAAGACAGGAGGAAAGATTAAAACGAGACAGCGAGAGGGACCGAGCTTAACAAACAGGTGGGAACTTCGGTTTTCTTCATTTCTGTCTCCCATCAACCCTTACTTCAACTCGACATCCCGCCCCATCCCTGAACACTCATTCTCAGATGGCAGACGCTCTGCTTCATCATCGTCAGACCCACCCACGTCTTCTGACAAGTGTCAACCTCCAATCCCCCCCCCCTCGTTGCACCACATTGCACAATATATCCGTGGCATGTCAACCCGTGCTAGCTTGCTGTTTAGCACTTTTTAAGAAAAGGCCCATAAGGCACTGCTCGGGTCAGACTGCCAGCACGTCTCAGGCTTGTTCTCTCCCCGGTCATCCATGTCAAACACGACCTGCGCAATATGCACCCGCCAAGCACCAAAGTGGGCCGCCATCATAAATAACCCCACCAACAATACATCATATAAGTGGGTGTTCTGCTCTCGTGGGCAACTCCAAACAAATGGCCACATCTATCATTGTGAGTGCCAGGTAGGGTAGGGTGTAGCCCGTTAGAGTCCCCCCCCCCCCCCCTTCCTTAAACATTCACATACACCTGCTTTTTATAAATAGCATACTGTTTTCCTAAATAAACCTGATTTCTCCTCCTGGTGGGGGCCTATGCTTGCTAATCCTGTGGCGCTATGCGGCAAACTAGCAGGTGTTGCTAGCGCAGAGCTCTTTCTAACAAAGACAGCCCCATTGTTTGGCAGAGCTGAATAATTAATATTGTCGACAACCTTTAAACAACCTTACGTCAGACTCATCTGTCATGGCATCCCGCTGAGGGTCTTGGGTGCTAGCGTCGGCTAGGATGTGTGCTTTGGGGCCAGGGGGGGAGAGGTGAAGTGCTATATTAACTGTTGGCCCGCGGCAAGCTAGCACAGGGGGCTCGTGACTCTGCAGGCGGCCCCCTCATGTCCCTCTTCTTTGACCTCGCTCTGTCCCTCAATACCCCAAGCCAGCATCACTCCTTGTGTGTGAAAAGGGGTTAGCGAGGGGAGCGGGGCATGACTCCATCTTTAGATAACATATGGAGAGGCTATTGCCTCACAATCCATCACAGGCCAAGACAAATGAGAACAACCTGGATTTCATATTGGAGGCATTTCCCTGAGCAGAAACAACAAGGTAACAAGGTAGAAAGCTGGCAAGCTCATATTGTGATGTTTACAGAGTTTTAACCCGCTATCAGAGGACAAACACATTGCTCTGTTAGTCCCATGATGTAGAGGAAATGTAGACCAGGTGTATGTAGTATACTGCATGTATCCGCAAATAAATTCCATTGATCATGTTTGGCCACACAGTAATGCTGAAGGTATTTGTTGAAATGGCGTTTAGTTTTTAGGGTTATGGTTATGGTTATGGTTAGGGTAGGTCTATGATCACACGTTGTCTGTGCAACCCAACATGGGATGCTGCTCACTAGACCAAAAATGTAACCTAAATACCCAAACGCACATGATAACACATGTGTAAATGTCCCCACCTCATTGTGGATCTCCTCACAGTGCTTCAGCGTGGTGGGCAGCAGGGCCAGCAGGCTGTGGGAGCCGGTCTCCAGGTCAGTGCTCAGGTTGGACAGAGCCTCTTCACACCGAGACTGGATGTAGGTCAGGGTCCCACTGGAGCACTGGCAGGAGAGGGAGAGACCCAGAGTTATACACATATTAAGGTCTGTCAATCAACAGACTAACTATGCATTAATCCATTGTAATCCACGTGTATTTTGTTTAAAAAAATACATAGATATTCTTTTCATTTTGTCATAAGCTATGTACTACATATGCAATTCATTTTTTGCGTTTGTTCTTCAGTTATTGGTGTCAGTGGATGATTTAGGCAAACTTTATTTCCAACCATTTTTTTATTAAACTTAATTGACCTACTGTTTTTATCAACAGTAACTTACAAAGACTTCTATGGATATCAGAAACACCTTTAGCCATGCCTTCAGGAGCAATTTGGGGTTCTCTATCCTGCCCAAGGGCACTTCAACATGTTGACAGGGGTCGAACCACCAACCCTTCGATTGGTAGATGACCATTTATACACTGTTAATTTGCCTATTACACAAAAACCTTCCATTTGATTTGTTCAATATTTATCAGACAGTGTTTAAAGTTTTCATTGTTTGCAGACTTTCCCTAATATAGCGTGTAAGTACTAGCAGGAGTCCTTACTGAAACATATACATGGCATACTATACAGCATTTCTACTACAATTTGAAACATTTTGTTTTCCCATTTTAGGATTGTTGGCTCCTCACCTCGGCCACTCTGTGTGTGGAGCTGAAGCGTGCGCTCTCCCCAGCGAGCACACAGTGCTGATGGGTGCTGTTCAGGTCATCTGAGGACCAAAGGAAAAGATCAAATCTATCAGAACATGCTTACAATACCCACAACACTCATCAATATCAAACAAGACAACAGCCTGGGAACGAAGAGAATATTCATCCATCAGACTCTTTAATAAAACATCGTCGAGCACAAAGGCACTGCGGAATGAAATAAGTTGTCATATTGTGATCTTGTGATTTTAATTAATTATAATAAGGAATAAAGCAGCTCATCAAAAGGCAAAAGAACTGATTACAAAAGAAAAACAGATGAAACGCAAGGCGTGGAGAAACATGACAACTAAATCATCTTGTTCGCTCAGACAGACTGCGCTCGGTCCAGCTCCCAATCAAATAGAATGAGCAGCATTGTACTATCATTTTAATTACCAAACAAAACCAGATCGCACTCAATCTGTCAAGATGGAAGAGGCACACCAACAAACATTTGTCCAATATCACAGGAGCTTTACAAAGAGGCCTTACTGCTGTTTCCTGTGTATCCCTCCATGTGTTTCTTTGTGTGAATAGATGTTTCGCAGCCCTGCCATTATTTGCCTCATACCAATAATTAATTTAGCCATGACAGAGCTGTCAGTCACAGCACATGTGCATATTTACACCCGCCTTGAGCAAGAGTACACTGGCTAATGCCTGTGATTTGAAAGTCAAACAGCCAAATGCTTTGGGAGGAAGATATTATTGTTTGGTAGGAGGGGGGGGAAAAAAGATGGTGACAAACAAAACAACTTGCCGGTGTTTTCTTCACCCTGATGAGATTGTGAGGGATTAGGTCTCTGGGCAGAATTACTCTGCGTCTTTAAAACTGTTTATATCCAATAACAAATTATCTCCATCAATCTGCTCTTTTCTTGGCGCGTCTGATGCGTCAGTGGGGATCAGGAGGGAGTAGAGGCAAACTCGATAACAGTAATAAATATTTATCTTTCTTTCAACCCCTGCGCCTGCTGCCACTTGTCCTCCTTTTCCAGGAAGCAGGCTTTTAAATATATTGGGTCAACTCTTTTTCTCCAGTCCCCCTGTGCATTGGGAGCAGGAAATCTGATTATTGAACAGGCCCGGTGTCAAGACTTGCATTGTTCTTTTTTTAACCACTGAAATTCCATTTGGGTGGAAATGATGGTGATTCAATTTGCCTCCAGCAGCTTAGACATTAGCCGTTCAAAAGGGCCAGCCGGCGACAAATGCTGCTGAAAAGACATTATGGTGTCTGTGGTTATACAACGTTGTCGTTTTCTTTTAATACCGCGAAACTATCTATCGTATGGTGTATGTCACTCAAACGCTGGTACAATATATCTGAACACATGGTTCAGTGGTGGCTGTCAGTGATGTGGAAACAGGATAGGGAGGGCATGTGCTTTCTACAATAAGCAGAGTGTGTGTTTTTGTGCATGTGAGTTTATAGGTGAGTGCATATGTTGTGCCAAGTATTTAATTCAGGTGGACCGACAAAGCGACAGACAGCCAAGGACTGTGTGAGCTGCTATCGTGGTGCAGCAGTTGGCCTCTCAAGGGCGTACTCACCAAGTGGAGCATAAATCCCCACTGATCCGCGACAGTCAAGTCCCATTAGAGTGGTCTGCACAACAGCCCATCACTCTATTATCATGGCTGGCCTGAAACTGACTGTTCTATTGTAAATCTTATGCAGCTAAAGGAGGTCGGCTTCAAGCCCTGTCAGGCTGAATATTAGGTACAGACATCGCCGCTCTCAGATGAAAACACAGCAGCTTCAAAGAGTCAACTTCAGGAATTCATTAAAACCTTCCTATTCCTTACTTGTAAAAAGATCACTTAGACATAACGGAGATACGGTGGATAAGTAATTTAATAATCAGTGAGAAAGATGTTTTAGATTGTGATTAGATGTAAGCTTTGTGCTTACGGATGGAGGTCAAAATAGATTGTTAAACAAAAACATGTTTGGATTTAACATATTACCATGATGCTATCAAAACAGCAGAAGATGTTGTCGTAATTAATCTGGAAACAATGACTTATATCACAGCCTTTGTTCTGCCTACATGAGTTGATATATGATGTATCCATACTGAAACAAAACAATTAAATCAGTCCTCTTTTTCATTTGTTAAGGTTTTGTTCCATAAGTTCCCATGTGACGTCCTACCTAGGAAAACAGTGAGGGCAAATACATCGAAAAATCAATCATTGTGATGTTGAGTGAAAAAGAGGCTAAATATTGTTTAGAAAATGTCTTCTCACTAACCAAACTCACTTCTTGAGTAAATGCACATTTTGTAGTTTGGTTTTCTGTTTTGATGTTGTAGAATGGGCCTCGTGGGATCTCAGGCTACAAAAGTTCAAATAAAACCTAACAAAAACATCAAACAAATACAAAAAAGAAAGCTTAAAATACAGCGCATCTCCTCCAAAAATGTGTTTGATATATGCCTGTACAGTCGGTAAAGTCAGTCTCATACCCTTGACTCCTAACTTTGTTCTGAGCGGAACGCAGCTGTAAATCTTAGCAATGTATTTATGATTTTAAAGTACACAGGAAGGGTTTCAGCGTCTTCATAAAAAAACCACTGAAAGCATGTGTGATTGTGAACTAGATTGATATAAGTATTTACTGTTGGTAGGATCAAAACAGTAATCCTTTAATCACAAGAAAATCTCTTTAATCACTAGGTCAAATACAAATATTATCAAACATACAGAAAACTTACAGTCCTGTCATTTTTTTAATAGAAACCAGACAGATATGGCATTCAGGCTGATCATTATCAGTTAAAATATTTAATTAATTCGATTTTAGATGACAAATTACATAAATAAATCACGGATTGTTTTATTTTTTAAAACAGTCATTTATCCAGCTGATACCGTAACATTGACTCAAGAGTGTACTGCATGTCTATCCTTATATCCTAATGAAATCAGAATGCCGTTAAAACATTATAGTATTCATTTGAACCAGAGATCCTAATTTCTTCTACATCCAAACACAAGCTCCTGCTGCGACATGGATACATGTCCTCACACTCGGAGAATATGAGAATGCTCAGGAGGGCCCAGAGAGAGGAGGGTGGAGGTGTCCGCTGCAGCCCAGAGCATTAAGCTGTGATTTACACCCCTGTGGCCCGCTGGCTGGCGTCTCCATAGAGACATAGTCGGTAGTGGGTCACAGGACTTCAAAAAATAACATTTGGTTTCTCTAACCTCTCTAATGCATACAATTTCATGGAACCTTAAAGCTCTGTGTTCAGGCCAAGTTACTCCCCCCCCCCTGCCACACACACACACACACAGCTCCACTTCTCCTGCTGGAAGAAGAGTGTGTGAGTGAAGAGTATCCTGCTCACGTGGGTCATCTGGGACAAGAAACACTAAAACACAGGGTAATAAAAGTGTTCCTTCCTCCAAAGTCGGACATAGTTGTGAGAGCGACGTGTTTACATGTGTGTATGTCCGTGTGTGTATGTGGAGGAGATTCAGTACCTCTCATGTAGTAGCAGTCTCCAGACTCCAGCGGCAGCGTCAGGCCAGGTGTGTGGATGTCCCAGGCTACCTTCAGCCCGATCCTCCAGCATGGGCGCTCCTCGCTGCCTCCCTCACTGCTCTCACCTGTCAGTCACACACAGCCAGACTCACTGTAACATTTGCATTTCACATTTATATTCACATTTCAGGCCTTTGGGTTGACAGTTTCACCCAGCGTGACTTAAGCTAAGTGGAAAAGTGAAGTCCTCACATTTTCTAGGGGTAGCATTTATCCAGGGGTGGAAAGTAACAAAGCTCATGTACTCAAGTTATGTACTTAAGTACACATTTGATGTACTTGTATTTTACCCGAGTATTTTTATTTTATATGACTACACTTATTTGTTTGATTTATTTACTGGTTACTTCTTCAAATACAGATTTTGACACACAATACTTAGGAAATAATTATAAAATGTGATTATTTGGTATTGATTAAACCATCCAAAATTATATTTAACAGAACATGTAGCAGCAATTTTGCTAAGAGGTTTTTTATTTAAAAATATTTCACAGTTCCAGCTTCAAGAATGTGAAGAAGTGCTGCTTTTAAAATATTTATTTAAAATGTTTAAATATGATATGTTTTAGTTTTTTCTGCAATGAGTACTTTACCTCCTAATACTTTAAGTACATTTTTCTGATCATACTTGAATACGTTCACTTAAGTACCATTGTTGATGCAGTACCTTTACTTGAAATTGAGTATTGTTACAGTGTGGTATTGGTACTTTTAGTAGTAAAGAATCGGATATATATATCACTATATAATGAAGGCTATTTAACACAATATTAGTTTAAAACACTTTACATCGAGAATACAAGTGCTGGCCAGGTAATGCAGTTCGAAAACACTATGATAATGCCCAGGAAAATTAAATAAAAAGTAAGGAGTGCAATGATTAAATCAATAGCTCCCAAACAAAGGATGTAAGATGTAAGCCTTTGTCTCCAGCAAGTAAGAATCACTTAACAGCAGAGCAAAGATGATATGTGTTGCTGTGGTCAGATTGGCTGTTAGCACAGGATCGTTATGCCGTCATTATGCCATGCAAGAGGAAATAGTTTGATAAAAGCCCTTGATGTTGTTTAGTGAGTGTGTGAGAGTGTGTTATTGGACAGCGGGAGTCCTATGATATTCCAGCTTCTGAACCCATTCACTGTAACCACCTCCCCTCTCCTTCCATTCTTACACGGCAAACTAAGAAAACGAGATTTGGCTCGGCTGGCCAACACCCTTCAGCAAAATCAATACTAAAGTCTTTCCGGGCCTCTCTGCCCCACAGCTGCCTTTTCCTTTGCTCAGCACGGATAAATAGTAACTTAATTTCCAGCCATTGTGCTCTGAGAGCCAGCTAATGACAGTACTCCCCGAGGCCTCAGGAATGGGGGAATATCATCCTCCGTGCCGGGAAAACGCTCAGTCGTGGCAGATTCCTTTGGATCAGCGCAGCTGGGAAAAAACACTCTGAACAAATCTCTGGCTGAAGCATAAAAACAAGGTGAGGCTGCTCAAGGAGCAAACAGTCTACCAATGAAAGCAGGTGTCATCTGTGGACCTTTGTCTCAGGAACAATGGAAGATACAGCAAGTTATTGTAAAAATGTCCCAAGGTAATCATTTCATTAGCTAGTTCTGGGAGTCCTCTGCGTCAGCCACTTAGATATATACTACACAGCACCACAGCGCTCTATACACACACGTTTCTTTCAAGTCTGGAGCTGCTAAGCACTGCAAGGTGTTACGCCATGGTGTTTGAAGCCCGTGTTCACAGGGTCAGAGTTGAAATGGCCTAGAACAAATCATTGAAACAGACCGCTGTAGCAGGTGTTTCTGGTTAACAAACACCAATGAAGAAAGCCCAGCTGTAAAGTGGGGTGGGATGTCAGAGCGGTTGGCATTTCACCTGTTATGTATGGCAGAAGAACAGTTTCTAGACAGACTGTGTAGAGCGTCCATTCTTAGCAACACTTGAACTACAGCTGCACCTTTATCCCCCTCCCCAACAGGACTTCATGTTGTTTTTCTCCTTCAGCCTTTGGAGGGTGCAAGGAATGATTTAGTGTTGTAAAAATACACTTATTTGGTTTAATGTAATTCCCAAAAAGGAGCTTTTATCAATTAAGTGTACAATATTGGTTTTACAATAAAAATAAGGATGTGTTTTGCTTTGTATTTAAGTCTGGAATATAAAACAAGACGGGAAGTAATCTTGATTCCATGGTAGCTTTGCATTTGCTCTAGAAAGCAAAAGTTCCTCTCATTGAGATTCTCTATCACTTGGATCAGCGAGCGCTATCAGCTCTTGAAAGAGTGCACATTCCTTAATTAGGAGACATCGTATCATCCATACAGTACAGTCTAGGAACACTTATCAAAGCAGGGCTCATTATTCCATATCAGATAATTGCACATCGATCATTTCTTGGGGAAATGATTTAGATGAGATGCGGCGTCTGTGATAAGGCCTGTTTGTTAGACTGTGGCACTGAGCTCATGTTAAGAGCTCAGATCCAAATGTCTGTGATCTCCCGACGCACGGTCGGCGATAAGGCTGTCAGCAGCAAGCCAGTGATGACATTTGATAATGCCCTGACACTATCACATAGATGGATCTGATGGTTGCCTCACCAGAGGCCATGTCTACAGCTGCTACCGCGCCGCTGTAGGGCCATCATACACAAGGTTAGCTGTATCTGATCGACAATAAAGCAACTGAGATAAGTTGATGGGATTTTGAAGTGAAAGAGAAAAAGATATCTTAATTTCTGAAACAACATGCAAAAGGCATGATAAACTTTGGATTTAAAAAGCCACCTATCTCGACAATTGGTATCCAATTAGCTATCCAAGTAACCTACTTTAGATTTGACCCTTACCTTTGTCGTTGTGACAGTTATAGCTGTAAACAGCCACTGGAGAGTGACTGATGAGGTTCTCATCGTGGTGCCAGCCTACTGCCATCTTCCCCATCCCATAGTAAGGCTCTTCTTTGAGCTGGCTCATAGCTGCTGGGTCCATGTAGTTAAGCAACGTGACATTGAACTTAACCGGACCGGTGCATACAGGCGGAGGACTCGGCTGCGAACAGCCCTGCCTGCTGGCTGCTTCCTCCCTGTCCTCAACGTGGTGATCTGAGGAGATGTGCTTCATTTTGGCCACAGGTTTCCCCTGTGCCGTGAGTCCCACACCTTTATTCTGTGTGCCACTGAGGGCCTTAGGGGTCAAGCTGGGACATTTCCCTTCATTGTGCTCTGAAGCAGCTGAGGCTCCACTTGGTTTATCCTCAGAGGACTCTCCTTCCTCACTGCTGGGTTTTGACTTAGTCTCCCATTCCCCTTCTTGTTTTGACCCAGAACAGCCTTCTTCACTGTGTTTCGACTCAATGTCCCACTCCTCACTGTGCTTGGACTCAGTTTCCCCCTCCTCACTCTGCTTGGACTCCGAGTCCCCTCCTTCACTGTTCTTGGAGTCTTCACTGTTCTTAGACCCCGTGTCCCCTTCATCGCTCAGTTTGGCCTCCACCTCCTCCTTCAAACACTGTGTTAGCCTGTCCCCTTCCTTCCGCTGAGACACATCTGAACTGAAGAAGGTGTTAAGCTCCCACAATGCCTTGCAAGCCGCACTCAAGTCAGAGTCGCAACAGTTTTGTCCTTTAACCTCAGGGTCCTCGCTGTGCCAGGGGATGGCAAACAGCCGCGTGTCCAGATAGCGGTAGGTGTGGCCCGGTTCACCAAGAAGAGTCCGTGAAACGGCGGTGAATACATCTCGCTCTCGGATGCGAACCAAATCCCTCAGGAGGCAGCCCTTCCTCCTCAGGGTGAGCAGAGCGGCCTGCACCCGGACATGGAGCTCAGCAGGCACCGAGCAGGATCTCCTCAGAACCAGGCCTGAGTAACTGGAGTCCCACTTGGAAACACAAGACGTTTCTCATCAGGATCATGACGTACAGAAACATAAAAAAAGAAATCTGACTCTTTCTTATTTGTGGCAGGCTCACCAGTTGCTGATAGCCCCGATCGGGAGGTCCGAGAAAGGGAATCTTCTGGTTTCCCAACTCCTGCAGAAGCCTCCGCCTCTGTAGAAAACAACACAGTAAATAGGCTGATAAGTAGCAGCAAGAAACTTCTGCATGTCGCTACTTTTTTTGAATGAATGAACTCAATTTCACTTTAGTGTTTGACCTTTGGAGAATATAGGTGTTGTGTAGGGCTGTGCGATTATGGCAAAAATCGTAATCACGATTATTTGGGTCAATAATTGATATCACGATTATTAAATACGATTATTCATTGACTTTGAAAACATCCATTTATTGAACTTTAAAACAAATACAAGTTATAATTTGAACAGTATCTTTTTAACTGTTGATTACCCTGAACGTATAATTCAACTGAAAAACCAATACAAAAATAAATAAAATAAATGATACATTTAAATAAATAATATCAAAATAATAAATACCAATAAACAAGATCAACAAATATTTTGGAGCGCACTTCCACAAGCTACTAAACATATATAAATATGATAAATACAAATAAATGAGACCAAAATGAATTAGATCAAATATGTTGCAGTGCACTGTCACAACCTAGCAAAGCAAAATAATTGTTTTTTTCGATTATGTTGTTTTCGTAATTGTGGCAGGTCAAAATCGTAATTGCGATTAAAATACGATTAATTGCACAGCCCTAGTGTTGTGTTCAAAATGTATATGACTGAATTCATGGAAATAAATATGAGTAATACATCGCCCAAATTCTTTGATTAGGCACTAAATGTACTTCCTGGGATGATCATTTTTACAAAAGTATGCAGTGCTTGAGAGACACATATCTTATAGGCATGTATGGCCTACATACAGTAAGGCAGAGTCTGGTTATACCGCCACTCCCAGTCTGGCTTTAAAGTACTGGAAACATTATCTTTGAGTACAAGACTGCCCTTTCCTTGCGGGAACATAGTATTTGCTGACGTGAAAACATTTCCATACATCCCACCCTGCCTCACTTTATATATAGAAACAAAAAGTGTGAAAAGCAGAGTTATATTACACTCCGAAGTTTAGGGGCTAACAATAACAAACTGCAGGACTCACATCAAATCAAACAAACTATTTGGGAATACAATTATTAAATTACTCTTAACAAACGTTGCCCTCAGATTGAGCTGAGATATCTATGGTGCTTGGTCCTTTTTATTGACGTCTCACGTTTTTATGATTTTGTGAAGGCTGCCATGGGGTTCCTCACAACCTTATAAAAGATGCCCTGTGCCATACAGCGCTCCCTCTATAAAAATGTCAACCTGGTGGGGGGATCAAAGTGCTTTTCACTGGGATGCATTCCATTCCGACCTGTAAATCTAATGGCAACTGGCATAAAAACTATATGCCCAAATAAATTTCACAACTATTTTCCCTCCCTGCGATGGTATGTGTAGGTGGAGGCGTTGCGTTTGTGGTTTTAGAACCTCATATTCATTCCCCACAGGTGCACACACAGTCTCTGCATGGAGTCTCCACAGCAGGGGAAGGAGAAATGTCACCGACATGCCACTGTCTTTTTACGTCTTTAAAAGTTTTTGCATGAATGGCCTGTGCATCAACCACTATGCGGTTGAAGGAGAACCGACCCTGTGTATATTTCCGAGACATTTACAAGAGGCGTCTCATATTTCCACTGCCCTAATAATGCCAAAGACCTCATGTGGCACACTGCAGGGAATATGGGAACCGGCTGCCAAAACATGTCCTGACTTTTAGAGTGATATAAAATGTCCCGTTAATATATTAAAGTCCAGGTATAAAAAGATGTGTGTCCTCCCGACTTTAAAGGGGGCTGGATCAAAAAGAGGGCAAGTGGTGAAAAGTATGTGCATTAAAGACAGGAGGGAGGAAAACAGATCCCAATAACGGGAGGGCATCAGATCAGAAGCAAGTTTGGTGAATTTACCTTCAGGGATGAATCTTTACCTTAGGCTAAACAACACAACACCTGCTGAAAGTTTTCTTAAAGGACGCACCTGAGTATACAGGCCTTCCAAGTTTTTTTTTTCCCGGAACAAACAAAAACAGACTTGCAGACAGTTGGAATCTTAAAAAACAAAACAACATGCACTATTCATGGCCAGACTGCATTCAAAGGCTGTTGGAAGAAATTGACAAGCTGACATACATTCGTTGGTGTCAAATTCAAACTCATGACAGAAGCTCAAGATATCAAGGTGAGGCTCTGGGCTAGTGTTGTACGTGTGTGTGTGTGTGTCTGTGTGTATATGTGTGTGTTTATCTGTTTGCCGCTGTGAGTCTGTACAGATCCATATCCTGGCATCCATCTACTGTAGATGCACACACATAAGTAAAAACCTTACAGTCAGCTTTAGTCACACTGCGCAAACCACTACTGTGTACACAAGCATGAAAGTGTGCCTTCATACTGTATGTGTGTGAGGCTCCAACAGATATACAAACATACAGGCCCATCCTAAAAATAAAAAAAAAGCGCAGCCAGGGTAGGGAGCATGATGCCTCAACGCCAATCGCACACAACCAGGGCTGTCACACACATGTCAAAAACATCAAGCTACTCAGAAATTCCACAGAAAAAAGGAGAGACAAGAAGTTACCGGAGCCCTCTGAAGCAGATGGACTCTCTCAGTATCAGAGGGCCGCTGTGTCTGTCTTGCTGTCTCTGTGTCTGCACCTGATTCAAGAAGGAAAAGCCACGAGGCGCAAAAAAAAAAAGGTCTGCGATTCCACTCAGACCCGGGAAACGAGATTACCAATCCCATAATAACACGGTAGCTTCACGGTAGCCGCGCCAACAGTCTGCGCTGAGTGATATATCTGATGCTTTTTTTAATCTCTCTCTTCCTTGATGGGATTATTCCCTCAGCCGGACTGTTTATCACAGAAAAACATATTAGGTAGAATAGAACTCAATGGGTTTGCTTTGATCTTGGCCTATAAGAGATATCAAACTGTGTACCATATATTTATTAATTTCATTTATTTCCCTATCTGTGACACTTCAACGGACACTTTCTTCAAAGCGTTCTTGGCAGAGTAGATTAATGTCCAGTGCTTAGCATCAATAGCTCAAAAAAGCCAGATAACTGTGCCGCTATGGGGATAAAAACACTTGCAGCCTAACTTGTGTCTGCCCCAGAGTGTGCATTGGAAAGTGCTGTGTGTGAAACGACTGCTGAGGGAGGACAAATGTGTCCCATTGGACTTGTCTGGATTTGGCTGATGTGTCTTAAACTAGATGGAAGCTACAATGTAGAGTAAGCCCTTACGATGGCTTGATAAGTAGACGTGTCACCTCATGTGAAATCTCTTCTTGTGCTTTCCAGCATGAAGACATTCTTATTACCATCATGGTGTATGGTTACATTTCCTTTTTGTGCAGGGCAAGAGGTACACCATATCTTCTTATATAAGTGCGGCCGTGGTTCACAAGGTAGATGGTCGTCCTCCATCCAAAGGCTGCTGCTTCTATCCCTGCATTCAACATGTTGATTTGTTCTTGGGCAAGATACTCAACCCCAAGTATGAATGGGTCAATGCTGACTAGTACTGTATATGTTAAAGGACTTTAAGGGATCGCAAAGATCGGAAAACTACGATATAAAAAGCAGACCATTTACGATTTACAATTCTTTAAGACCTCCATCCAAAGTAAGGCAGCACTTTCCCTTTTGATGCAGGTGCCAAAAGTTCAGACGGACAAATAAACTTCAGATCTGGAACAGGACTTGTCTGGCTCCGGGATGACGTGATGAGAGATAGCCGTGTAATAGAGCTCCGTGTTGAAATAGCAAGCTATTGGTACTTGTGTGACACCCATTTCAGAACTGGTCTTCTTCTGCAAAAGTGATGGTGAATCAACAGTTTTGACAAGTCGGCTGTAAAACGTCGAACTCAAACACATAGACTACACCGTGTACATCAAAGGCGCTTCCGTCCCGGTCCATTTGGCACCGGATCGCAGAATGTCGGGAGCTTGTGTGAAGCGACACAGGGCGTAGAGAAGGGCAGGGAGTCCCCACACCATCAGAACATTTGTGTTTGCATGTGTGATGCATAGCTAGAAAGGAAGTCTTCAAAATAATTCAGCTTTGATCTGAGAGGAACTTAAGAAAACACTTTAATCAAAAACCCAAGGCTCTTCAGCTACCTGCAGGTGTTCATAAAGGTCGCCACAGTTCGAGGTCTACCTCATCTTCAGAGTATGCCACTGACTTGAACTATGGTGAGATAACACAGCACCTAGGTGCCACCACACACAAGAGAGACACAAGCACACACGCAGAGTTTCCACTTTTACTGCTGTGTCTACCTTATGCACATGCTAAAAAACAGAAGCCTAGCACTAGTCACAATGTTGGAAATGAAATGTTCAACTATTTTCACACATCTTGTTTGTTAATTTCATGCATAAAAAGAATAATTCAGGGCAAAAATTCACCACTTCTTACTTCTGACATTGTGTTTACAGCCACACTCATTTATTTTAAGAATACTGACAAGATGTTTGTGACTGTGTGACGGCTAACTGGGTAAGTCAATGGCTAACTGGAATGTGTGGGAGTTGACCTCAGTGCAGGGTTGTTGGTAATGTGTAACCTCATGTCTCCACTCTCATGCTCAGGACCAGCTCATGAATATGAATTAGACTGTGAGAGCTAAAGGTCAATCAGGATGACGTCACCAGAAACATTTAAAAACAATTGCTTCAGATCCTTTCATGTTGATCAATTCTTTTCTGGGTAATCTGTATTATCCTGAGATGTATTTACAGATTTAATTTGGCATGTAGGTCTAGCCTACATTCACAAATCACATTTAATGCAAGGTCATCCATCCAAGATCATCATGCAAATAACACAAAACAGTTATTAAGAATATAATCCTTTGCATATTTCACATATTGCAGGATCATTACAAGAAAAGGTCTTATTCATCAATTAAATCCAGAAGCAATTATTTGTTTTGCTTTTTAGAATCGGAAACAAAAAAAGGAAATATGTCCAGAAATAACTGCGGAGGAAAGCTATGCCATTAACCATTCC